ACCTAGCCAGGTCTACAGGAGGTCGTGGGTTAGATCCCGACCCTGAAGCCTGTTGTATATTTGGAGTCTGCGTGTGTCTCTCATCATCATCATTTTCACGGTGGCTAGGAGATGTTAACTACCTCGCCTGGTATACAGGAGGTCGCGGGTTCGATCCCGACCCTGACGCCTGCGGTTTATTTGGAGTTTGCGTGTCTTTCTCTCTCTCTCTCTCTCATCATCTTCACGGTGGCTAGGAGATGTTATCTACCTCGCTTGGTATACAGGAGGTCGTGGGTTTGATCCCGACCCTGACGCCTGCTGTTTATTTGGAGTTTGCGTGTCTCTCTCTATCTCATCATCATCTTCACGGTGGCTAGGAGATGTTAACTACCTCACCTGGTCTACAGGAGGTCGTGGGTTCGATCCCGACCCTGAAGCCTGCTGCTGTATATTTGGAGTTTGCGTGTCTCTCTCTCTCTCATCATCATCTTCACGGTGGCTAGAAGATGTTAACTATCTCGCCTGGTATACAGAAGGTCGTGGGTTCGATCCCGACCCTGAAGCCTGCTGTATATTTGGAGTCTGCGTGTGTCTCTCTCTCTCATCATCATCATCACGGTGGCTAGGAGATGTTAACTACCTCGACTGGTATACAGAATATTGACTTAACGCTTTTGTGACTGCAGGAATTCATATCCTTTGGGTCTTTCGGAAAAGTCACGTAGATAGGTTCAAAGAAAATAGGAAAAAAACTACGACGTTTCGATCGCAACGCAAGTGGTCGTCGTCAAGAAAAGTGAGTTAGCTTTTAAAGGCAAATTGCTTAATAAACACATTAGAATCAACGTCACGCGTTGAGAATATTTGGCTGCTGCAATAAATTTCGACTTGATGATGATGATGAGACGCCGCTTCGTTGAACTATCATTTGTGATCGCTCCAAAGCTGCTCAGTGGCGCCTGACCTGGTATATTAAGATTGAAAAAACCCCCGCCCACCTCCCACGCATTTCACAATTAGCACTATTCGCATTCCTGCATTTCCCATAAATATGCTAAATTCCTCTTCAAATGCAAATTCTTTTGTCAAGGCTCTCTTCCTCCTCCCTCACAGCTTAAATAGACACTCCAAGCCTAAAACGTGTCATTTAGACTCTTGTCTTATCGACAGACATGTTCTTCACCTGAGGACGGCTGCTTGCGTTGTGGCCGAAACGTCGCGAGAATTATTTTATTATGTTTTATTTTTATTATTTTATTACTTCCCTTCTACGTGACTTTACCGAAAGAACCAAGAAGATGAATCCCTGCAGTCACGAAAGCTTTAAATCGAAAAATATTAAGATTGGTCTATCCCGTGTTACTTAAACGCACGCTGAATGGCTAAAGGCAAGGTTTCACAATGTTTTAACCCTCTTCACGTACACGTTGCACGCGCTTACAATAGAGTTTTTTGTTATATCTATGGGACCGTTTTATATTTATCAGTACAGGGACTCCTCTACTTACGAACGAGTTAGGTTCCAGAGGTTTGTTCGTAAGTCGAATTCTATGTAAGTCCCAAATTTACTCCTGTTGATTCCAAATGTATTTACGGCATGTATATTAAACACCGGGGAATGGCTTTAAAAGTTATATCATCTCCTGTAAATGTAGATGCCACTGCTTCTTCACGTTCTGCAGATGTAGATGCCACTGGTTGTTCACGTTCTGCAGATCTAGATGCCACTGGTTGTTCACGCTCTGCAGATGTCAATGCCACTGGTTCTTCATGTTCTGCAGACGTAGATGCCACTGGTTCTTCATGTTCTGTAGATGTAGATGCCACTGGTTCTTCACGTTCTGTAGATGTAGATGCCACTGGTTCTTCACGTTCTGCAGATGTAGATGCCACCACCGCCATCTATTGCACGTGGCGGTTGAACTTTTACGACTCTAGGTCCGAACGGGCAACTGGACTAAACAGACCAGGCTTGTTCGTATCTCTGAAAGTTCGTAAGTAGATGAGTCCCTGCTTCAAGAATGATAAAGCAATACAATCGAAGGCTTTATACCCTGCCAGGCACTGACACAGGAGGTGTTAAGATGTCCAAAGCACCAAGTAGAGAGCGGTACCTATACTTCTCCTTGGTTCTTTCGGTAAAGTCACGTAGAATGGAAATAATAAAATAATAAAAATAAAACATAATAAAAAATTTTCACGACGTTTCGGCCACAACGCAAGTCAGCCGTCCTCAGGTGAAGAACAGGTCGGGTACGGGTACCCGTTTGCGACCCTGGTGCGGCCGGGTACGGGTACGGATAGGCCGTGAGTCACTGGTGAGTAACTGTTTGTCACTCATTTCCCAACGTCTTGTCTCTTCTCACAATTCAAGTTCCTAGAATCAACCCACCCGCGCCTGCAACATGGCTTCATCCCAGAGGTCGCAATCAGGTACCCGACACCCGTACCCTACCCGTACCCAACCGGGTACGGGTAGGGTACGGGTTCGGCCGGGTACGGGTACGGGTACCCATTTGCGACCTTGGTGCGGCCGGGTACGGGTAAGGAATAAAAACCCGTTTGCGACCTCTGTAGCCAACACATTGCAGCTGGGAAAGCATACGGTAACCTGCCATCGCTTTCACGTTTCCGCCATGTAAACGCCTACCCTCACACCTTTCCTTTCTTGCCCTCGATTCATCGTGTCGCTCTCTCGCAGCGCCGGCTCAATCCGCGTCGCGGGGGCTTTGCTCATTGCCGCCGAGCTCACAGTTTTCCGGTCGGCCGGAGTCCACCAAAATCCAGGTTCCTCGCTTCCGTCGCTGCCCTTTCACCAAGTCATGCTTCTCCTTCCATCACTCGCTCTCCTCCAAGGCTTACATCCCATTTTGATGTGCAATCTTCGGCCACTCATTCGCCTTTGAGGCTTACATCCCACCCTGATGTGCAATCTTTGGCCACTCGTTCTCCTCCAAGGCTTTCATCCCATTCTGATCTGCAATCTTTGACCACTTGCTTCCCTCTGAGGCTTACATCCCACCCTGATCTGCAATATTTGGCCACTCGTTCGCCTCCAAGGCTTACATCCCAACCTTGATCTGCAATCTTTGGCCCCTCTTTCTCCTCCAAGGCTTTCATCCCAACCCTGATCTGCAATCTTTGACCACTCGTTTTCCTCCAAGGCTTTCATCTAACCCTGATCTGCAATCTTTGACCACTCGTTCCCCTCCAAGGCTTACATCCCAACCCTGATGTGCAATCTTTGGACACTCGTTCTCCTCCAAGGCTTTCATCCCAACCCTGATCTGCAATCTTCGGCCACTCGCTCCCCTCCAAGGCTTTCATCCCAACCTGATCTGCAATCTTCGGCGACTCACTCCCCTCCAAGGCTTTCATCCCAACCCTGATTGCAATCTTTGGCCCCTTGTTCCCCTCCAATGCTTACATCCCACACTGATCTGCAATCTTTGGCCACTCGTTCTCCTCCAAGGATTTCATCCCATTCTGATCTGCAATCTTCTGCCACTCGCTCCCCTCCAAGGATTTCATCCCAACCCTGATATGCAATCTTCGGCCACTCGTTCTCCTCCAAGGCTTACGTCCCACCCTGCCACACAAACTCCTTAGTCACTTCCTCATCTTTACACGGCTCGACTAATTGCAATTTGTCTCATGTTCAGTTTACCATCCTACGCGTTCAAGCCACTCCAACAAATTCAAAGCGCCGCCTCACATATCATCTTCAATCTCCCCTTTTATAACCCACACATCATCTCTCCTCATTCAGAACGTGAAGAATCGGTGGCATCTACATCTGTTTATTATTGGCGCCTCTTTAAATTAATTACCCGAGTTTGTAAAGCTCTTCACGGCCTGGCTACCTTACCTCTCTTCTCTCATCTCACTTTACGTTCGCCTGCCCCACTCTCTGCGTTCTAAATCTTTGCCGTCTCTTTCAGTTCCTCCTTAATTCTAGATTTGAAGCTTTCGTGACTGCAAGGATCCATACTCTTAGTTCTTTCGGTAAAGTCACGTAGGTAAAAAATGAAATGAAAATTAATAAAAATAAAACAATAAAATCACGACGTTTCGGAGGCAACACAAGTCTCAGGTCCCACCTGATGACGGAGACTTGTGTTGCCTCCGAAACGTCGTGATTTTATTGTTTTATTTTTAAATCCTTTATATTAAGTTCACTTGCTTGCTTGCTTGCGCGCTTACGACCGTGCTCCAATCGAGCTGACATTTTGCACACTGACTCGTTGTGTGTGACAATTTATTTTCGTGAAAATTTTTTTCCATAACTTTACACTTTTTAGGAATTTTTTTTTATATTGAATTACCAATTGCTTAATGGTGGCAGGCAATCATCTGACCCATAGGTGGCAGCCATCTCAAGCCAGAGGACGAGAGGACTCTAGCCGCCACGCATATAAAGGATTTAGAGTGAAAAACTTTGTTTTTACGGGTTAATTTTTTATTAATTTTAATTTCATTTTTTACCTACATGGTGACTTTACCGAAAGAACTAAGAGTACAGTTCTTCCTTGTCAGTGTGTACATTCTCGGTGTCGCTCATTCTCTCTCCTAGCCCCCTTCATCACTGACATCAACTGCCCTTGCACGTCAAACAATCGCTCTCTCTCACTACCTTTCGTTTTTCTCATAAACCCCCACTTATTATTTTTTATTGTTCACCCTTCCTTCTCCCCCTGTGTTGTCCTCACCAAGTCGCATTAACGCCACCTTCTCTATCGCCAACTCCCCGTGGTCACCCATCATCAATCCACTCGTCTCATTTCCACCTTCGCTCATTCCACACATCGTAGTTGTCATCGCCGCCACCGCAACCACCACCCCACCACCACCACCACCTCGTTTTACATATATCCCATCCACTCATCTCGTTTCATCTCACCAACCATATTGTACCATAGGTCGATTACTGCACAGCGCCTTGGTTAAGGCGCGACATAAATGTCACCTCCTCCCCCCATCCCCCTAAATTCTCCCCAATTCCTCCCACCTCGCTAGCAATGGAGTCCACAAACTTGTCTGCCAATGCCTTGGATGCCACCAACGCCACCTCGGACCTCATCCTCATGGTCACGCTCTTCCGCGAGCCTTCCGGCGCGCGCTACTCGGCCTTCGCGGCCCTCCTCCTCATCTACACCTTCACGGTGGTGGTCAACGTGATGCTGGGCCTGGTCATCTGCCTCGAGTCGAACCTCCACCGGCCCATGTACGTGCTCATGGCGCTGCTGGCGCTCACCGACATCGTGGAGACGACGAACGCTCTGCCGAGGATCATGGCCAACCTCGTCTCGAGCAACAACTACATGTCCATGCCCGAGTGCATCGCCCAGATGTTCTTCTACCACATAGCCATCAGGGTGCAGTCGTTCATCCTCACCACCATGTCCGTGGACCGCTACGTGGCCATCGTCCACCCGCTGCGCTACCACTCGATCATGTCCAACGCGCTGGTCTTCAAGGTCTTCCTGGCGTCCGTGGCGCTCGCGGCGTTGCCGATCATCGGCTACGTGAGTGTGGTGGTGCGCCTCAACTTCTGCCGGGTCAAGGTCACCTACTCGCCCAACTGCGACATCATGATGATCAGTAACCTGTCGTGCAGCGACCTCTACCCCAACGTCTTCTACACGTACACGAACATCATCACGGGCATCGCCATGCCGCTGCTGCTCGTCATGGCCATGTACGCGCTCATCTTCGCCGACCTCCGCCGGAGGGGCGGCTCGTCGAAGCAGAGCCACAAGAAGGCGGTGCACACGTGCGTGACGCACCTGTTCAACGTCACCGTCTTCTTCAGCTCCATCGTGTTCACCTTCATCAACGGCCTCAACCTCTACACGATCCCGCGCGACATTCGCTTCCCACTGCAAAGCCTCCAGTACGTGGTGCCGCCCGCACTCAACCCGGTGGTGTACGGACTCCGCACGGCCGAGATCCGGCGCGCCTTCGTGAGGCTCGTGACGAGGCGGGTGGCGCCCGCGGTGTCCGCTAAGTGAAACAAATTGACCGTAAAAATTTCGATGTAAAGCTTCTTTCGTGACTGCAGGGATTCGTCTTCTTGGTTCTGTCGGTAAAGTCACGTAGAATGGAAATAATAAAATAATAAAAATACAACATAATGAAATAACATAATATAATAAAAATATATAATAAAATAATGTTGTATAATAAAATAATAAAACGAAATTCTATAATAGCATAGTATAATAAAATAATAAAATATAATAACATAATTAAAAAATAAAATATTTTACTATAATAATATAATAAATCTAAATAATTATATTTTTTTTATTTCGATGTAAAGCTTTCGTGACTGCAGGGATTCATCTTCTTGGTTCTTTCGGTAAAGTCACGTAGAAGGGAAATAATAAAATGATAAAAATAGAACATAATAAAATACAATTCTCACGACGTTTCGGCCACAACGCAAGCAGCCGTCCTCAGGTGAAGAACAGGTCTGTCGAGAAGACAGAGTCTGAATGACACACCCCAGGCTTGGAGCGTCTATTTAAGCTGGGAGGGAGGAGGAAGAGCGCCTTGACAATTGATCGTGGTCCATGTGCTCGTCCCTTGTCTCTTCTGTAACATCATCATCTCAATAGTTGTTGAACCGTTGTTCATGTGCATGTCTCTTCTGCAACGGCATCATCGTCGTCGTCATCACAATCGTTATCTTCATCGTGGGAGGCATCACTACTTTCATGCGGTTTCCTAACACATGTAAGCACTCATTAAATTGGGCCGATAACGCGTGCAAATGTGTGTAGAGGACCGCAGAGCTTGGCAATTGTTGGTGGTATTCGCTATGGCGTGGCTCCTGCTTCTGCTGCTTTTACGCTCCTCGTCCGGTTAGCACGGCTGTCTATGTACGGTGCGAAAGAAGCTCAACATACATACATTCTTAGCAGGGTTGGTTACGTACAATGAAAATTCAGTTCAACGTGCATACACACAGCACGGTTGGCTACGTACCGTGCAAAAGAAATTCAACATATATACACACATATCAGGGTTGGTTACGTACAGCGAAAAATAAGTTCAATGCACATATACACATAGCACGGTTGGCTGCGTACGGTGTGAAAGAAGTCCAACATACCATTGGAACCTCATTTGGCAGTAAAAAATATGATAATAGTTTTTTTACCCTTCTATCTGGCAACAAAACTGACACCTTTTTTTACAAGGAGTCATGTTTGCATAGACCACAATACCTGCAGTCATAATGTAAACAAAAACATAACTCTGACAGTGCATACAATATCAGAGTTATGTTTTTAGTTTGCATTATGACTGCAGGTATTGTGGTCTATGCAAACATGACTCCTTGTAAAAAAAAGGTGGCAGTTTTGTTGCCAGATAGAAGGGTAAAAAAACAATTATCAAGTCCAACATACATACACGGATAGCATGGTTGGCTACGTGGCTGCTATAAACGTGGACATTTATAGCAGCCAAATACTCTAAACGGATGTTGATTACTAGTCAACACACTTTTTCTGGCACAAGGTATTCCAACGGTTTTAATGTAATTTTGGGGTGCTGATTCCAAATCTGGCATCAGTTTTTGTCTATCACATCAGGTTTTTGAGATATCAAATATTGCATTTTCAATGAAAACTGCAGAAGAAAAATATTAAATAAATGTGGATATCTACATAACATTATATTATAAACACACTATCCTAAAAATACAGCACCATATTTTAACACTAAAGCAGTCACTGACTCGCAACAACTTGCAATCATACGTGACAGCGTTAATTTCGGGTAAAATCAATGAAAATGGGGTATGCCGATAGCATAAAAATGAGATGTGATAGAGCAAATTTGAGATCAGATTTGGAATCAGCACCCTGAAATTAGCAAAAGTACAGGCCAGAAAAAAATGTCTTTTTATGTTGACCAGTGTGGAGGGAAAAAAACCAGAGGACCGGTAGAAAAATCCACGTGACCACAGGGAAAACATTCAAACTCCAAATATCAGCGTCAGGGTTGGGATGTAACCCACGACCTCATGTATACCAGGCGAGATAGTTAACATCTTGCCACTGCGGCACCCCTGTGGAAAACAAAAATAGCCTTTGAGAAAAACCCACCCGTTCCGTGATGGCCTTGTGCTGGCTCGGCTCGGATATGGCAGTGGGAAAGTAGGATCGGGACTCCAATGACATCTTACTGATAGGTGTGTGTACGATAGTTTTTGGCGTGAACTATCAGCTAAAGCACAAAGCCACGGAGTGTCTTTACTCAAATGAACAATATAGCCATACGATAGAAGAAGATGCACACACGGAAAATGTTAAACTCTCCAGTAGTGGTGTGGCGAGTGTGGTCATCCAGAACAGAACGTAGGAAAACGTTTAACGAGACAATGCACCCCCCCCCCCCGATCCACAAATACGAAGGAGGAATCTCAGCGATGATGATTCACTCCTCCGCTACTGCTCCTGACATGGTAGTTATCGGGGCTTGACCACCTGAATGTGAAATTTTAGGCGTTGCTCTGAGATCTACATTGGCAGCGGTATGGAAGAAGAAGACGATATTTTCTTGGTTCTTTCGGTAAAGTCACGTAGATAAAAAAATTATAATAAAATAAAATAAAAAATATAAATGAAATAAAAATAATTGTGTATTTTTAGCTTTTAATATTTTTTTTGGTAAAAATGTATTTATTTTAAAATAAAAGTAATTTTTTTTTCTATCTACGTGACTTTACCGAAAGTACCAAGAATATTAATTCCTGCAGTCACGAACGTTTTAAGTCAAAATCTAAGAAGACGATATATATAGTGTTGGCGCTGATCTCCTATTTAAGTCACGCCCGAGCTCGGAGTAGAAATTCCACATTCGTCTGGTGGAAAACAGTTCATACTTATGGAACAGGCGTGGCAATGGCTACCAGGGGCGGTTTCTTCATGAGCGCGATTGGGCGACGCACCACCAATGTCATTCAACCACAGAGTCACGCTAGCCGTCACTGTCAGCCTCTGGATATAGTCCAATCAGCGTCATGTCACGTTCTGTGGAGTACCGCCTCTTTTTGGGCGATTTCACTCCGGCTGAGAATCGCCCCGAGTGGCCCCATAGACTTACATTCAAAGATGTTTTTTTTCGAACGGGGGCGCTCCAATGCATTCTCTATGGCTTCCGGGAGGGCTCGCCCTAACGTGCTTACGTCATCATACGTGCTAACGTCATCATACGTAAGCACATTTCATCCAACAATATAATTTATCGCTACCTAGTGGAATCTTTAATAAAATAAACTTGAGTGGTTTGTTTTAATAGTGAGTATATAAACAAACAAGATGTATTGTAAGAGTCACTTTATTTTTCATTAATATTAAAGAAGTGAAGTTGCCTTTACATGCTTAAGCTGTTAATTTATTCATTGCATGGGTGGGACCTTATCCTTATCAATCATCCAGACATTTGCCCCCCCTGAGAGATTTTGCAGGAGCTGCCACTGATGGCTACCATAATTTTGCGCGTAGAAATGTCATGGCGGGAATTGCGTAAATGGCGGCGCGGGAGTAAGCGCCGGTTCGCGATTGGCCAGACGGGGGTCTTAGTCCCCCACCCCCCTTCTCACAGGATACACGTGGGTGGTCACGTGACTCCCCATCCCCCAACACTTCGTAACACGTGGGATACACTAAAAGTGTGACATTGACTCTCTCTATTTAAGGCCTCGACACAGAGGCGTGGTTTCTCTGTGTGCCTATGTTTGTCTCTCTCTCTATGTATTTCTGTGATATTTGTGTCTGCTTATAATGTCTGTCTATATATCTCTGGTTCTGTGTTTGATCTCTCTCTCAAATTTAGCATTCTCAGGAAGAACGTAATCAACCGGGTAGGGTGTTGACTGTTATGTTATCCGACTCTCTGTTGTAGTAGTGTATAGTGTAGTGTGTAGTGTAGTGTGTAGTGTATAGTGTAGTAGTGTAGTGTATAGTAGTGTAATAGTATATAGTGTAGTGTGTAGTGTAGTGTATAGTGTAGTGTATAGTGTAGTGTATAGTAGTGTAGTAGTATATAGTGTAGTGTAGTGTGTAGTGTATAGTAGTGTAGTAGTATATAGTGTAGTGTAGTGTGTAGTGTAGTGTATAGTGTAGTGTAGTAGTGTATAGGTGGGGTGTTGACTGTTATGTTATCCGACTCTCTGTTGTATTACATTACATTTCTAAGTATACTTGCTTTGTGTTTCTATTTCATGTATACCTGATGACGATTGCTTGTGTTGCAATCGAAACGTCGTATGCCAGTGTTTAATTTATTATTTTATCTTTATACGTGACTTTACCGAAAGAACCAAAGAGTAAACACTATGGTGTCAGGTTGGCCGCGGTGTCGAGTCGTGGAACCTGGGATCGTTACGTCCCCAGGCCTGTTAGTAGGAGGCACCCGCGGGCGCTAGGAGATGTTAACTACCTCGCATGGTATGCAGGAGGACGTGGGTTCGATCGCGACATTGACGCCTGCTGCTGTATATTTGGAGTTTCTTTACCCAATATGGTCACTGTGTGGATTTTTTTAAAAATCCGGGTCATCCTTTTTTTGTTTCCCTCCACATTTAGAGTCAATGTCACGCTTTTAGAGTTTGTGGTTGTTGTAAAATGTCCACGTGATGATCCACTTTGTTGAACTTTCATTTGTGACGAAGGTCCCTTTTGACAAAGAGCTACTATGCAGTAGCTCAGTGGGGCCTTACCTGGTAAAATAAAAATCGTAAATAGGCAAGGCCGTAAATTTCGATTTAAAGCTTTCGTGACTGCAGGGATTCATCTTCTTGGTTGTTTCGGTAAAGTCACGTAGAATGGAAATAATAAAATAATAAAAATAAAACGTTATAAAATACAATTCTCACGACGTTTCGGCCACAAGGCAAGCAGCCGTCCTCAAGTGAAGAACAGGGCTCTCGGAAAGACAGCGTCCGAATGAACACTGCTAAGCTTGGCAGCGTATATATAAGCTGGGTTAGAGGAGG